ATGGAGCATATGCTGCTCTACATGTTTTATTACTGATGACAATACGTTAGAATCTGAACAGTAGCTTGTGGGTTATACTACACACAAAAATATGTACTTTGTGAAAACAGGACAAGGAAACTTTAGTTACTCAATATTCCATAATAAGATATGCAATGAAAATATATTAACAAACAATATGGTCACAACTGTGCATCTGTTCTGCACTTTTGCAATCAGCCGATAATATGTCACTAGCCATCAGATTTAACTTAAATCTCCAGGCCTTGAATTGTTTACAAGGTTTTGAACATGTAGGAAAGGGATGACTTATCCTTCTGAAAGACATTGATAATACCAGTTTTCTTCAATATAGTAAAGACATGGGGACTCTGAAAAGAGTCATAATTAACACTTTGTTCAGCTGACAGGGAATAATGATAGTTCGATGTCTTCTGGCAGGAATGTTAACCCTGTCCTCCAAACTTGCAGACAACCTTTCTGTACAAGAAGTAGGCAGTACTGCAGGATTTCAGGATCCCAAACTGGGCATCCATATTTTCTGAGTATAGTATACCACTGTACAGGGGGCAGGGGATTTTGGAGGGTAATGCAGGTGGATTTGTGATGATACCAGTGTGCTGGGTCATTGCACAACTCAATTCCCCTATCTATAATTCAATCCTCAACAATACATTTAGAGTAAGGTTTCTTTTTTTCAAAGAATTAAGACAGTTTTCAGTTAAAAAACCTGTTAGGAAATATTTGAATCAAATAATAACAAAAGGAATGAGTTTTCTCTTTGGACAGGAGATTACAGACAGATATGAGAGCAGTTTTCAAATATATGAAAGCATGCCTTAAAAAGATGGAGAAACATTACTCTCCTTTACTACAGATGACAGGATGTACAGGAGTACATTTAAACGGCAGCAAAGCACATTTAGACAAACTCTTACAAAAAATCTTTCTAATTGTAAAATCAGTAGGAGAATTGAACAAAGTGTTTGTAGAAGTTACAGAATCTGCTTCACTGCAGCATTTAATAAGGACTAGACAAATATATATGTTGGTTGCTTTAGGAAATGTATATCCTGCATTTGGGCAGGGGCTGAAATAGATGGCCCTGGAGTTCCCTTCTGATTCTATCAATTGCTAAGTTGAAAGTTGCTTGACATGAAAATACTTGCAAAGGTATTTTTTGTTCTTTAAATATTGGAATATTCACCATGGTTAATTAGTTGCACCAAAAGGTGTTACTTGGTGCTATATTTACAATGTAGGATTTTTAAAAATCATACTTAATCATCTTAAAATTAATACTTTAAGAAAAGCCATAACTAGTCTACTGAGTTGTTAGAATCTAACACAGTGTATAATTCATTAAACAGAGTATTTCAAATGATTTGAAATAGCTGTGAACTGTAATTTGTTGCCTTTCTTTTGAAGTTCCATGGATCAGATTAAGGCAAGGAGAAACAACAAGCAGATTATTAAAAATTTACCACTAGGGAAGGTCTAGTGATGAGACCATGAATAAAAAGAAGACTTCTGCTCCTTAAGGACATGCTGAGAATAAAGGTAATTAAAGTAATCAAGTCAGACTTGGATCACATAATTTTCTTAATTGTAACGGCATTTAAGGAAAGGCGTCTGAGGCTCTCAATGAAAATGTGTCCTGCCCCACAGGGTAAGGTGATCAGTCATACCCGTAATATTGTCCCTGATGCTTTAGACCTAGTAGAGAACCTTCTACTGGGTCAGACATATTCAGGGGAGAACATGAAAGAGACAGGAGACAGCTATGAGCACATAATCCAGCCTTACCCAAACAATATTTAGGATAATCAGTCAAGTATGTCTCTAGAAGGCCAACTTTGTCCTGAAGATGGAGATGTCAGGGGGTAGAAAAGAATGACAATACAGAGCCCCAAAATGGTGTGTACTTGCCCCTGGTATCTTACAAATCCTAACCTGAACTTGATCTGATTTCATAGACATTAGGGCTGGAAGGGACCTCATAAGATTTCTGATACTGTGGAGCAGTGGTTCTCAACCTTTTGGCTAGGGACAGACATTACACATAAGCTGGCTTAAGTGATCAGAAACTGGTTTAAACCTGTAACAGAACAGATGTTCAGCAATGTAAAACAGTTTGAAAATGGCTGAAACTGGTTTGAGATAAACCTGGTTGAATGTATCAGACTTAACTGATTTGGGTCAAACCAATTTATGCAATGTTTGTCCCAGACCCTTTGCTGGTTTAAGCTAAACCAGACACCCCCAGCATCCCAGCCAGCTCCCTGGCTGGGCGGGGCTCTCTGCCCCACAGAAGGGCTGGCCCCTCCCCTCTGCTCCCTAGCCAGAGCTCCAGTAAAGACTTTCAGGCACAGCAGGGTCTGCTGGCTTCCCCATGCCCCCTTCCTTTCTCTCACCTACAGCACAGACTGTAGCCAGCATGTGGTATGCTAGCTAATGCTGTGTAAGGCAGATAGGACAGTGTCATTTTAGGGCTTTTTGGAGGTAATCAACAACTCAGATGGTAATGTCCCGGCATTCATTTTTTTGGAATAAAGCTGTTTAAGAAGAGCTTGTAATGAGCAAGGCTTGGTTTTCTGATGGGGTGTTAAATGCTGATAACAGAGCTATGCCTATACTGTATTGCCGGTCTTTCTCATGGTTCTAGGCTTTGCTGATTACCATATGGGGCTGGAAAGGAGATTTTTTTCTCTTCCTGCTCCTACATGTGTCATGGCGATGTGAAACTTCCTCAGAAGCATTGGGTGTTGGCTGCAGCTAAGGCAGGGGATTTTAACTGCTGTGTGCCAGTGCTCCTGCTGGCACCTAAACACAAAGGTTCTTGGTTAGAGGGTCTTGCCCCTCCACTCAGGGCCAGACCAATCATCAAAATTGGGGTCAGAGGGTTGCCTTCCTCTGTAGCTGGGGGGAAGAGGGTTGCCTTCCTCTGTAGCTGGGGGTATAGCTCACTTCTGTGTAGCTAAAGATAGTGGAAAGAGGTTGTAGCTGTGATGGTCCAGGCTACAGCTGGACCATCACAGTTACAAGATCCCTCCAATGCCACCACCACATGGAGGAAATCGAACTCTGGCATATCTTAAGGTATTTTCTGATGTGTTTGTGTATGACATGAGGACAAAAAGGGAACTTCTCTGACATCTACTACAATTCTAGTGCATTAAGATCTGCATGCTAAACCCATTTTTTGACAAATGCATGGGTGCTTCCCAGACAGGACTGTATTACCTACTATAAATGGAAAACCACCTTTGTTTTTAGGCAATTAATTTTACCTTTGAAAGATTTAAATGTAAGAAACAGCAATAATCAGGATCCAGCATGAAGATACTGGAATACAACTTGCTAACAAAACATTCCACTCTAGGGCAAATGCTGTCATTCAGTATGATAACTGTGGTACCAGATGGCAAAGAATGACTCCTGAATGTCTTGTGCTATAACTTCCACTGGCATTAATGATTATTGCATTTATGTGTTGACAGCAAAATAAAGCCCATCACAAATCATTAGCCAGTATAGACTTCAAAAACTCCCTCATGGCATTACTAGCCTAGCCCAAAGCATAGTAAAGTCAGTGGCAATGAGCTCATTGACTTTAATAATCTGTGGACCATCTAATAGTAATTAGTTACTAAAATACCACAATACACCTTTGAAAATAAGTGTTGAATAGAAAAGTGGCTCAGTAAATATGGTATCTTATTTCTGTAAATGTTAGATATGTTTAATAAGTTTCTACCAATCTCTCTCTATTTTATAGCTTAATATGCAAACAATAAAGCTGAAGAAAAAGCAAGCTACTTTATTCTTCCTTGGGCATCAAATACAGATGAGTTTCTTCTCTGGTCAGTCATGTCAGAATGTGCTGATCAGGTTTGTGTTAAGCCAAACCTTTTCTGGTTTGCATCTGAATGAATGTGATATGGAAGTCATTAAGGAAAAATAAATACATCATATCTAGACATTAGTTTTAGATGGTCACATTCCTGGTCATCATGAAGTTTTAAAGACTATGTTTTTTTCAAAACTTGAATCAAACTCTCTTTCTTTATAAATATATTTAGGTAAGACAATTTCTGGGTTTCAGAGCATTCTGAAAGATCTCAATTTACAGTGCATATTGGGCAAAAAAAAAATTGACAGTAAGGCAGAGAGAGATCTCTTCATAGTTCTACCATTAATA